AGTTAATTTGGTGATAAGGCCTCATACTATTTAGCTCTATCTCCAAGAATCGTATCATATTTATTTACTGTAATTGTGTGATTGTCTTCTATATATATAGATGTACTTATTCATATAAACATCCATCCAAAATAGTGAAGATGTAGCCGGTTGGGGCTTTGGGTATCCATCCAAAATAGTGAAGATGTAGTGGGTTGGGGCTTTGGATCTGTGTACGTAAGCTGAACGGATACCCAAAGTAGTGAATATACAGCGGGTTGGGGCTTTGGATCCGTGTACGTAAGCTGAACCACGTAAATGTTGTGTTCTCTCTTCTTCTCCTACCATTCTCCATTGCTGTGTTCTCTCTTCTTCTCCTACCATTCTCCATTCAATGTCTATGTATGTATGCTCTAACGAATTCTAGCATAGTATCAGAGCAGAAGTCTTGAGACCTGTGTTAAAAATCTCTACAGTTGACTTATTCTGGCTTGTGTATGGTGAGCGTGGATCTTTCTCGCTCTCTCTACAATCGTTTCTTTTTACAACTAATATTTCTAAGGAAAAAGAAAATTTCACGGAAATAGATTGTAAACTAGGTTTGCATTGGACATTGTTATTTTTGTTGCAAAGGTTATGCAAAACTGATGAGCCAAAGGGGATCCTCACACAACGTAAATCTAAAGATTTGCAAATTGTTTGCAATTGCTCTCTTGGAATGCAAAAGGTGACGTTTTGTATTCCTTCAAGTTGATCAAGTTATTAATGTGGATTTGCCTTACCCATTAATAAGAAGTCCAAAAAAAAAAAATGGAGATTTCCATTCGGCAAAGAAGTTCTTTAGGGTCCAAAAAAGAAAAAAAAAAGAAAAAAAGGTTTTCCAGTGATTCTCAGTGTTATCGTGGCCATGGACATCAAAAACCTGCAACTTTTTGAGGAGCGAGAAAGGATCCATTAGAGGGAGAGAGTTCTGTTCGAAAAAAAAAAAAAGGATTTGCTAGGGAGATGGATGAGGAGCCTGCGTGAGAATATCACCTTGCCAATCATATCCAGGATGACGATGATTGCAGTGCCTTCCCAAATTGCCAGTGGCAGTAGCAATGAAATATTTTTGCTTGGAAATTATGCATCTTTGGTTCTTTCCATCTGGTGCTGTCATCGATTTCTTTTTGGGTTTGCTAGCAGGACCAACATTGCCCTTTTTAGAAGAACCCAACCCAATATCAGTTGTGCCAATGCTTGCCTCAAAGAGCATGGCCTCTGCTATCCCTGTTGGTTTTAACCCAACCCAATATCAGTTGTGCCAATGCTTGCCTCAAAGAGCATGGCCTCTGCTATCCCTGTTGGTTTTAGGGTGTCACTTTTTGGACAGAGCCGCCAGCCGTAGGAGAGAGAGAGTTTAAGAGAGAGAAACAGATCCCACGTCTTTCAAAGAGAAAAAGATACCAGTTTTCCATAAAAAAAGCGACCCATGTTTTTTTTTAATTGAGGGAGATACATCAAGTTTCACAAAGGAAGAATGAGGGTTTCACAAAGGAAGAGTCAGGCTTTCTTGTGAGAGAGATATAAAAAGCCAAGTTTAGAGAGAGAGTCATCCCTTAAAAAAGGGGCCCATCTTTCTAGAAAGAAGAGCATAAAGGAAAAGCACCTATTTTTACGAGTCTTTGAAGAGAGAGAAAGAACCCAATCTAAGGGTTGACGTGTGACCATCAAATTTTTTGATTCTAGTTGATGATCATATTTTTCGTTATGTGTTTCTGTTTTGTTTGATGATGAAGTTTTTTATTACTCGATCCTGTGTGATGATCGAGTTTATTTGATCGTGGTTGATGATCAAATTTTTCGATCCTAGTTGATGATTAAGTTTTTCGTTACCTGATTCATGTTTGATGATGAAGTTTTCTATTGCTCTATCCTGTGTGATGATCATTGAGTTTTTCATTACTCGATCCCGGATATTTCGAAAAAGAGAAAAAAAAGATCATTTTTTTTAGTGAGAGAAATCCTATAGAAAGAAAAAAAGCCTCTGAGAGAGAAGATCTTCAGAGAAAAAAGCTCTAGAGAGAGAAAGTCTTTAAAAGAAAGTAGAGAGCCCAATAAAGGTTGTTTCTCTAGAGAGAGAAAGTCTTTAGAGAAAGTAGAGAGCCCAATAAAAGTTGTTTCTTGGAAGACCATGGTAACATGTAAAATTTATCATGGATTTGATCACTACTTATTGTTTGGCACTACTTGTTGTTTGGCAACTTAGTATTGTTCAAACTCTAGCTGCTTTATGTCAAAGCATTTTGAGTTTGAAGAGGAGGATTAGGATAAAGACATCTAGGGTTCATATTTATATAATCATTATGGATATGAGTATATATCTCTGGATAAGATTAAGTATCTAGAAGATAAGAAGAGACCAACTCAAAGTTACTTAATCATCAAGTTAGTTTGGTGATAAAGTCTCCTATTATTTACCTCTATCTCCAAGAATCATATCATATTTATCTCTTGTATTTGTGTGATTGTCTTATATATATATATATATATATATGCTTATTGATGTAAATATCCATCCAAAATAATAAAGATGTAGCCGGTTGGGGCTTTGGATCAGTGGGCGTAAAGTTTCGGCCTGAATCACGTAAATGTTGTGTTCTCTCTTCTTCTCTCACGATTCTCCATTCAATATTCAATATATGTGTATGTATATTCCTACGGATTCTAACATGACTATCCATCTTTAAGATGGATGTGTGATGCCTTTGGGGATCCTAACATATTATGCATCCCCCAAAGCATAAACCACTTTTCCATTTTAAAGCACAATCTTTATGTGTTTGAAAAATTTAGGTCCCGAGATTGAACAGATATCACCCAATTTCCTGTGGGTGAGATACAAGAGTTGAAGAATTCAAATTGATTTTTTTTTTTGGAAAAATAAAATTTTAATTGATCCCCAAAATTTTAGATTAAAAAATTCCTCCCTAGTAGATCTGTTATCCATTGGAGTAATTGGTAATAGGCTTTTACTGGGAGCATAGTACACACACTAATAGATGAATTAAGTACACACTCTTTGCATATGCTTGAAAAAATAATGTCTTAAGTCTAAACAACGGTCATCCAATTTCTGGACATTAAGACCTAAGTTCTAAGAAGGTTTTTTTTTTTTTTTTGTGAGAACATTTATATGGGAACTCTAAAATGGACAGTAATATTTTAGACCAAAATAATCCTTCAAATAGCTCTTTTGGGCAACTAAGTGCATAGTGTGCTCTTGCAAAAATACAACACTTGCCCTAATGAGTTAATAGAGAATTTTATGCCAACTTTTGCCACTCCTTTTTCAAAGTCAGTTTAGAGTTAGGACTCTTTTTCAACGTGAAAGCTATCAGAGGAAAACAGCACAAGGAAGCAATGAAAAACACCAAAACATTTGTTTTACTCCATGAATAGCACCAACATTCTACAAAATTAAGCATTTTAATTTGTTGATGCTTAAGGTGCGGTTATTTTGTAAAGAATAGCAAGGCTATGTGTATATATAGACAGTCCTGATAAATTGTCATGCGACATACTCTTTTTAGGATCAAAGTTTTTTTTTTTTTAGTTCTATCCGTTTCAAGGTTGAGATGATCAATGAGACGGTCTTCTAACTTGGAATCCTCTCTTCAATTAAGGCACCTTCTATAAACTTTTTCATTCAATGACTAGGTATAACAAGCACGTCAATGACTAGGTATAACAAGCACGACACGTAAACTTGGTGCTTCAGTTTTAGACGTGACCTTTTTTTGTCATAAATGGGTCTATAAAATTACATCTTATATACAATATTGAACAATAAATTGTATATTAGTTTATAAAATGAGAAATAATTTTATAAGATTTTTTTTCACTTATGTGTGTAGGACCTCAAAGGATCACAATTAAATTTGACGCGGATCTAAAAAAAATTCAAGTTCCATACTCTTGTGATAACTTTTCTAAAGATCCGTGTCAAATTTAATGGTGATAATTTGGGATCTTACATACATAAGTGGGGGAGGGTCCTATAGGATCATTACTCATCATTTGGATGGTATGTTATTTTGAAGATTTTAAGTATTTATAGATGTACTTAACCTGCACTAGTTTTTATAATTAAGAATGAAAATGTATTTTCAAGCCATGAGTCCCTAATACTGGAATCACATCTTCTAGCATGGTTTAGAAGTTGACATCTTGTAAAAACAACACCTAAGTAAAAACTTTATATGAGGTGTCAACTATACAGTGAAGAAGTTAGATAATCAACAAAAACACATTGCAAGATGCTCTCCAACCCTCCATTATCATCTCGATCTCAAGACATATGTATATGAAAAAAATATTTAAAATTTTAAATATAATACATCATATAACTCATTATTTGGACCATCTATTTTCAATTTTATAAATGGAGGTGAAAATATAATTTAAAATCATCGTAAGGCGTATGGCATTAGAGTTAGCACCTCAGGGTTTGACTTTGATTGTTTGGGGTGGACACCTTCTATCCCATGCTTCATGTTAGAACATGTATAATGCTCATGCGGGAGCATATACCGTGTTTTTACTCCCTCATCGAAATACCTACTTAGGAAGATTTTTTGAGTGAAATTTTGGGAGCCCCCTTAAGAATCACTAGTCTATAATTTTTAAAAGAAAAAATTGAATTTGGAATTTTTTAATACTTAGATATTACCCTTCAAAAATTGCATAGTCTCTACTTAATCTGGAGACTTTTCTTTTTAGTAGATAGAGATTTCAATTTAGGAATATTTTTTCTAGTAAGGTGCCTATGGGTGAAAAGCTTACATCCCTAAAATTTCGAGTCTTAAATTGACACCTATATAGGGTTTTAGATACGAAGTACATAGACAGTCTACTCCGACGGGAGTATGAAATCATTTATCGTCACATTTTGTATTTTTGTGAAAAATTATATCATTTTAGAGGTGACATTTGTTTTGTAAATTTTGGCATAAAAAATTGAAAACATTACGCACACTGAAATTGACCCATTAAGTTCTATAAGCCCATAGAACTGAGGATATCAGAACGCCCCTTAATTTGGGCCATGGCTTCTCTTCGAAGCCGGCACTGAAGCTCGCTCCATTTCGATGCATTTTTCAACAATATTGATTCGTTTTGAGAAGTTCTGGTTCCCTGATTCGAATTCAGCTCGAAAAACTCATCTTGGAAGCACTAAAATCGTCCAAATCGGTGGACCTGGTCTAGTTTAATCCCTTTTTATCATACTGTTTACTTTGATTGATTTTGATGGTTTTTTTTTGTTGGAAAATTTTAGACTGGCTTGATTGGTTTTATTTTTTTGACAATGACTTGATTGGTTTTTTGCGCGGAATTATTCAGTTGTTTCTGTAAATAAATGCTTGGCAGTGGTGTTTGATTGATTTTTACAAGTGTTTAGACCAGGGCATGGCCAATTCCCTAGCTCTAACTCACCACATGGGTTCTCAATCCAAAAACTGTCAACCCAATTACAAGTTCAAGAGACAACCCAATTCATTGAATCCATTAACCCACCAACTATGTGATCAATCAACCTCTGCAGCGATTGATATATTCGTATTGATCTTGGTTCTTGGTGCTTGTGGGTTCTTGATTCTCCCTTATGTCAAGTATTTCTACCATGGATTTGCAGAGCTTGTTCCTGTTCCGCTCTCTCTAACATATGAAGTGATTAGTGAAGCCCCAGTGGCTTATGCGAGTGGGTTTTTGGTTATCTTGGTTTTGTCCCTGGTGGTTGTTTGGGAAGTTGTGGGGATTCGATCTCGAAAGTGCGACAACCCAAGTTGCAGAGGCCTTCGGAAAGCTGTTGAGTTCGATATTCAGATCGAATCAGAGGAGTCTTTGAAGGGTTTTCCTCCATTGATAAGAGATGAATTCTTGATGTTTGAATTGAGAGAAGACCACAAAGAATTGGAAAATGAGCTCAGAAAGTTGGCTCCCCCAAATGGAAGGGCAGTTCTGATATTTCGGGCAAAGTGCGGGTGCCCGATAGGGAGGATGCAAGCTTGGGGATCAAAGAAGCCCCGTCGGAGTAAGAAACAGGGCACAATTTCAGGGGCTAAAAAATTATCAGTAAAGAGATGATACTCAATTGGGTCAATTTATTTCTTCTTTTTTTAGCTTGAACTTGAAAGTTCTCTTATTACTCACTTTCTTTTTGTAGTTATCTTATCTCTCTAGGTATTTTGAATAAGCGGGTCATGGTATTATTCTGATTATGATACTATAAAGGAATGACCTTGATCCTTCTGTCACTGTTAATTAAATAATGACCATGATATCGAATCGAATCTTGTTTTTTGTTGATTGTCCGAGCACTTATTCTGAAAAAATATTATTGTTTGAGCATCTGTTTTTCCTTGGATCTGCAGTTCTTCTAAAGTTGGAATTTCTAGCTCTTGCAATAATCACTCGTCGTTTCCTCATACATTTGGAAGGCTGTTAGATCGAGCAAGTACTTGTTCATTCAGTGTGTCCTTTTGATCTTGTAGATGGGAAGTTTGGAACTCAATAAAATTGAAGAATAAGAATTTAAGTTTCATTTCATAATTTTCCTTTTCACTATGTATTCACGTGCATTTTTGTACCACAAAATTGTTGCTTTCCTGTCTTGGGGATGGGTTTTGTTGGAAACTTTATATTCGCTGCCAAATGGTGAAGATTCTTTGCTGCCCTTATATATTTGAGCTATTTATTTGGCAAGATAATCATGCATGCAGGAACAGCGACAATGACTCAATTATGAAACTTCAACTGTATATCATCCATTTTCTGTGTCCTCTATATATAGGATGTTCTCAATTGGGTTCCGAATTTAGACTACCGTAATTACTGGTAGAGACATGTGTACAATGTCCACATTTCCATCTACTTTGTGAGATGAAATTGAATACCTTTTTGTTTTTCATTTTGCAACCATTATATTAAAATCCTATGCTATATGAGAGATACTCAAGTTCTCTCAATTCTTTTAACAAAGTATTGACACTTCAACTGAAGTTTTAGAAACGATTTTCTATATTCTAAATCATCATCATCATCCAAGCCTTATCCCAATTATTTGGGGTCGGCTGATTTTCTATATTCCAAATGAAGCATATTTATTCTTGAGGGAGGCAGTTTCAATACCATAGGAAGAATCCACTATAGACTGAAAAGAATGGGATTGAGGGCATACAGCTCACTGTTCATCGGGAGCTAGATCCTAGTGTTAAAATATTTATTGCGAAACATCTTTTATGACCTACTGGTGTATATGTTGTTTTTCTTTGTTTGTTCTTCTCTGGTGTCATGGACTGAGAAACAACCTCAACCTGAGAGGTTGGATTTTGGAACTGACACAAAAATTATGATCCATGACCTGAAATACACTAATCATTGAATTGCTTTCACATATAGATGTCTAACCTCTGCTTTTATTTGTTTGTTTGTTTTCTCTCTTTGTTTTTTTTTTTTTTTTTTTTTTGTCATTACCAAAATTTTAAAATTTTATGTAATCAGATATTTCTACAGATCTCTGATCATTAAGAAAATCTTTACTGCGCTTTCTTGAATGTGCAATCATTTGGGAAACTTGAAGTGCTAGTCATGGATTCCTGTTGCCAAAATTTCTCTCCTTACAACATTTCCACCCAATGTTGAATGTGTCCTAATTTATCTTACCTCTTTGTATTTCCTCGCACACATTCCTTTTCATATTTAAATGCTTTGAGTATGTGGCTTAAGGGCTCATGGCTTTATCAGAGAGTGGACTGTGGTGGCCCTTTAGAAAAGGCTTGATTTCTGACTGTTTCCTGTTTGAATCCCTTTACCCGGGGATAAATTAAATTAAGTTTTGATGGAAGTTCCTTTGGTAACCCTGGCCCTGTTGAAGTTGGTATCCTTTCCAAATAGAGTAAGGGCCACATCCCTAAGTCTTTTTATGGTCTTGCAGGATCATGTGATATATCTTCTATTGAGTCGAAGTGTCAATATTAGGGTTGAGGATGTTTGTTGTGTCCTTCATAGGGTCCTTGATTGTGGTGGGTTACTCACTTGAGGATATTCCGTGGGTCAGTAGATCCTCCGAATTCCTTTAGAGGCTTGCTAATATTATGGAAGGGATTCTTTCCTTTATTGATTTCATTGTTTCTATCTTCCATGTCTATCATGAAGGTAATGAGGTGGTAGGCAGGCTAAGTGAAGGAGGGGGTGGGAGCTGGAAGCCTCATTATGGTGTAAGTCTCAATTTAGGGCCTTGCCACAGTTTGAATCCTTCGTTTTCCTCTCTCTCTCTCTCTCTGTGGGTTTGATTGTGCATCTCCATCTGTATGTATTCTGTACTGTTATAGTGCAGATTGATGTGTACTCCTTTTCCACTGTCTAGTATGGTTATTATCCCAAAAAAAAGGGAAAAGCATCCCATCTTCTAATATTGACAGTTTATCTCTTATAAAAGTTATGATTAGGCTTCCAACTCCTTACTTTGGAGAATGGCCTTCTCATTTCTACTGGTTATCAGATTGCTTTCTATCTTGGAGGAAATGAAGGTCATTTGTATTTGTACTTTCCATGTTACAGGGCCCTCTCTAGATAGGCAAGTTGTGCTATTGTAGAGTATTTATTATAGGAAATTATAATTCTAGTGCAACAAAGTTTATTTTATAGAAGAGTGGAAGTACTTTGCACACGCTAGCACAGGTGACTTGTACAATGGAGAGGTTTGTTGAGAGTCATGGAACCTCACACATTCCGGTGGATGTATGTAGTTTTCACCAATTTTCTCAAAGACTATCTCTATTTTATGTGCACGAGAAATTGTTCGAGTGCTATTCATTGGAAAAACATTGTCTAATAATGACTTACAGCTGAACGGTTTGAGTTTCTATGATAGAGTTCGTCAAGATCCACCTCTGTGGTTGCTTTGGTGTGTTAAAGTAATTACTTTTCTATTGTTAACTTTATCCAAAAAAAAAAAAGCCTTTTCTATTGTTTTGACTGTTAAATGCTCTACTTTTGGATTGATTGTGTTAAGCTTTTCATTTGTGATGCGTTTGTCTATTGTTTTGACTGTTAGATGCTCTACTTTTGGGATTGATCATGTTATTCCTCGAATTTCTTTCCACTTTTTATGCTTGTTATCATCAATAGCTTAGGGAACGGCATAAAATGGTCTTTTACTGAATGTCTTTTTATTTTCTTGTGTTGATATTCTTATTTATGTTGTCTGTTTATTCTTGTTCGTCGATACCTAATGTCTTGGCTTAAATGGTAACTATTAGCAGCTGTGGTCAGGTTATGTTTCCTTTTTTATCAGATGAATGCCTTGCCTTAAACATGCTTACTAACAAAATAACAATGAAATGAGATGAAATCCTGATTTATATCCTTGAGATCACCAGCAAACATTTTCAGGAGATGAGAAACTGCCAACATTGTTTGAAAGATATCTAGCCTTTCCACAAAAATGACAATAATTTACTGATGTCATGTAAGCCTCGCTTCAAAGATTACAGAATTCCACCGTTCTTAGATTAGTCCTTATTACATCTGTGGGATGACTGTATACTTGAAGTCACATGAGCAATAAAATGACAGTGCATTGTTCTCATATTCTCCACTTGCTTTCATGGTGACAAGACCTCCAAACCAGAGGGACACTGAACAAGGATTTCTTGAGTAGAAGCCCTGGCCGTAGCCATCAAGTGAAGGAGACAACCTTCTTCCTTACAGCTTTTCTTGAACCTTTTGACGATGTTGAGCTGTGGCCTTCGAAAGGAAGAGAAAAGACACTTTACTACTACCTAAGGTTTATTTTGCAATTGAAGTACCCATTATAGCTCTTTAAGAAAAATGAAATTGCAGTTTTTTATCCTCTAGTAGACTGTAAAACAAAAACATTCATGAACTTTAGGCAAAATATAAAAACAGGGAAAAGACACATTGAGAGTTACATGCTTCTTGAAAGATTTTCCCCGTAACACGGTGAAGCCATGTAATGCAATCCATATTCACTTGTCAATGGCGATGATCAGTGGGTCACAACAAGCATTCAGATCAAACCCCATCACCAATTTCAAGCCACCATTTTCATGGTTTCCCAATTTGTCACTGGGTTCCACTGATTTCATGAAACTCACACTGCTCACTTGATCCACATGTGGAGGTTCCATGTCAGTTTCTCTTATGCCAATATCAGTTTCTTTGACTCTCTTACATTCTTCCATTCTCACAGATTTTCTGCCTAACGGTGGCTCTTGTCCTTCCTCCTTTCGGTCTGCTCCCATTTGAAGAATCAGAGAAACTGCATTATTACCATTTATAGATCGTGAAGCCCTATTTGTTGCAACCATTGGCCCCCCCCGCATCACTGGGATCAGCTCCACGCATGATTTATTAAATCTAAGTTCATAATTGTGGCCTTGCATGCTAACATCCATCGTTAAGGAAGTTAGGGGGCTTTTAGGTGAACTTAAGGTGCTATTGCCTGAACCATAGTTGACCTGGGGCTTAGGAGCATGATAACCAGAAGCTCCCATTCCTGTCATCCTTTGGTTTTCCATTTGTGGGCTTGCAAATTCAGATGCTTTGTTCTTGGAGATGGCTGTGTCCATATAATCATGGATTACTACAGACAAAGCCAATTCTGAGAGCTCTGCTCTGAATGCTTCCACCCCTGAGGAATCCAAGTTGTATGAAGAAAGTGCAGTCTTTGCCCTCTCTAATACAGTCTGAAGATACCTTGTTTGTGCTTCCATTCGTAGTTTTAAGTGTTTCTGCACCTAAATCAGGGACCATGAACAAGAGAAGTTGATTAGCCATCATCTATTTAGAGATGTAATTACGTGACGAGCTTCGATACATGACGACCTTCGATATTCTTCATCAAAGCAATAGCAGATTAATTATCTGTCACCCTTTATATGTTCATACTTATAGAAAGTTAATATGGAGAGATACAGTGTGTATTTGGTGCTTACAAATTTAATGTATTGATATTAGTCTTGCTAAATGTGTATTAGCCCAATATATATCCTATGCTTTATGTGAATTTAAAAATATTGTTATTAACAAATGACAGATACCTAGGCCAGGTAACTAAGTTTTAATGACTAAGATGACAGAAATATACCTAACTACAAGACTCTTGACAACTATACGAGAAACATATTTTGAACTTAGACATGTTTTAAATGTACTGACATTAACTCTAATGGGCATTAAAGGTGTGACATTTTGTGCCAAATGTCCAACATATCTTTACCCAAATATGGATTGCAAGAAAGCAATTGGATCTAACAAATTTAAGGAAAATGTCATTTAGGGAGTAAAAAAACTGCTTACAAAATCATCCTACTTAGCACTAGAGGATTTACTTTTTAATTGTCATTTCACTCGTAAATCTCTTGAAACAATATTATTTAAAAATGCCCAAATTGGCCTTATTCCAGGTTGGGAATCCTAAACAAGCATAGGCATCAGGTGTTTTAGTAATTTCACCTACCCTAAGCAAGCAGAGGTGCTTGAGCCATTTGGTTAGCGTGTCTTTGGTGGGTCAAATTACTAAAATGCCATTGCTTATCCGGGGTTCTCAACTCTGAATATGGGCAATTTGGGTGTTTTGGTTGTTTTTTATGATATCTTTTGAAAAGGTGCTCGAGTGAAATGAAAATTAAAAATTAAACCCTCGAATCTTAATTGGATGTTTGGATTAGCCCTTAAGGATTGAAGGATCATGACCCTTAAATGAAATTATCCCAAAAGTTTATGGTGAAAGGTCAAATTACCATGCACAACGAAAGTTAATAAAACCCATACAAAGGATAAAGAGTCTTGGGTATCTTGCCTCTATCCGCTGAAGCATTTCCCTTTTCATGCTGATTGGCTTCTGTATAGCTTCTTCTTCCATGCGAATGTTCCTGAGTCACCGGAGACGAACATTACATTCAAGAAGATATCTCTGTTGATAAAGGCTGAGAGAGAGAGAAAGAGAATGGCAGCGTGGTTCTCTTACTCATCTGGGGGGAATATCGCCCCTCTCATCCTTCGAATACCGCCCATTGCGTCCATTGATTGAATCCAAGGGTCCCCATTGCTCATTGCTTCCAATGTTATTTGTATGCATTTAGTGAGGGATACCATAACCATCAAATTTTAATCAGCAGAAACTAATTCACATATTCATAAACTGTCCTCACCATTTCTTAGACTCCTGCTGTGTACTAATCCTTGGGCCTTTGCTCGTTTGTACCTCTGCAATGCATCAATATTGCTTAGTCCTCTTTTGAGAGAGAGAGAGAGAGAGAGAGAGAGAGAGAGAGAGATATGATACCTCGCGTTGCAGGTGACTCTTGAGATGAAACACTGTTAGTCCAGGTATCCCCATGGCTCGCACCATTACTTTGGGTGAGACCTCTGCGGAAAAAAGACAATAAATTTCCTTTTTACTGAATGTCAACCGAAAGCATCTAGAGGAAACGAGAGGAGGTTTCTGAATTTTCACCATCAAGGCCCCCCAGCCGGGCGACTGTGTCAAGGAATAACTGGTGCAGCTCAGGCGTCCATTTCAGCATAGGCTTTGTTGCATGAGTAAGTGGAAGTGGAACGATAACTCCTTCGTTTGCACTTCTTTCCATTTTAGGTCTACATAAAAATGAGGATTGGATGTCGAGTTTTAGCTTGATCATGCGTTCTTTGAGATCCATTTACGAAAACCTCGCAGACACATAGACCTCAAATCATGATCCTTTATGAAGTACAAGACAGACAAACTGATTCTTATTTATACCTTCCTACTCTGGTTATAGCTTCACTGCTGCTCGATCTAAAACTTGTTGCTGAAGTACTTCTATCTAAAGTCTAGACAGAAAAGATCGTGTGGTTGGCAATATATATACCTGCTTTCTCCATGTTTTTTATACCATAAATGGTTGGGCTGGAACAAAGAATATATGCAGTGTTATTGTTCTTTTACCTTTTCGTTGTTCCCCAGCTACACCAATCTTTGTTTGTTTGACTTGAAAAGGGAAAGGGGAAGGGGAAGGGGAAGAGAGAGACTTAGCTTTTCCTTGTTTCTTTCATTTGAGAAAGAGAGAGAGAGGGGAATATTTGGGAGGAGTGAGAAACGAAAATAAAGGAGATGGGGGTTTGCTGTTGTAAGTTAACTTTCTCTCACCACTCCTTTGTTTGATTCCTTCGCACCCCAGCTGTATCGAAAGAGGCCGGCAGTCACGAACTGTCGACTGAGAATTTTCCTTCATGCCAGTACAAAGAAACTGCATAACTCAGCACGAGAGAGAGAGAGGAACAAATCAGTAAAAATTTTGGTATATATATATATATATATATATATATATATA